ATTTTAAAACAAAGTTCAGTCTAAAACCAGGTTCAGTGGTCATGTTTTGTCCAAGTGTAATTTTCAGGGAACAGGAAGGAGGCTGAGAAAGTTAAGGTTAGTGGAACTATCCTTTAGCTACAGGAAGTTAAATGGGTAAGCATTTTAAGAATGGTTTTGTTTGGCTTTGAGCAATGGAATTAACACGTAAGAGATTTCAAGTCTACTACAGAAAATATTTCAGAAATTAAATGAGCAATAGTGAGAAGTGCAGACCTTTCAGAATATATGAGACTGACTTCATATTCAGATAGATGAGAAATGATACTGTGAGTGCTAAGATCATATCCTGCATTCCAGTGGAACCAAAACGTGGAAAAAAGTTCTGCCTCTGTAATATTGAGATGATTTCTTAGGATTTCTGTTGGTGAGGTTTCACACTTAGCAAGTGATGTCTGGGGAAAAAAAGCACAAAATCAAAATCTCCTGTGGTTCTGTGAAGTCAGCTGTGGAAAAAAAGTTTTAATTGAGCACTGTGTTTCTAGGTTTTCTAGTATAAAACACAGTGAAAGATAATACAATACATTAAGATAATACAAATACAGTAAGGGACTACAAAAACTTTTTTGTGATAAGCTATTTCCTTAGGGTTGGATAAGAGCAAAAATCTCCTGGACAGGATTCCTTTGTTTACAAACTTCCTTCAGATTTTTTCATCATACCACTTTGTACTGCTATGGTATCACATATATCAACTCTTTGCCGCCAAACAGCACGGTGCTCAGTTTTGTCCATCAATATCCAGCTATAGGCATTACAATCAGAGCTGAAGTGTGGTAACAGGGAATTTTAAAAGAAGAATCTTACATGCAATACAAAAAGTTACAGCAGTTTCCTGAAGGAAAAAAATGTATTGGATGCACTTCAAACAAATGTAGGCATGTTGATGTAACAAAATCATCAAAGTGTAAATATAGTAACTAATATACAACAAAAATATAGTACAATTTAGAAAAGGGTTGAGAAGTGTGACTAAAAGAGCTGGACGGGATTTCCCCCCCTGCTTATATATTTGAAATGTCTTTTTCCTTATACTCTCTGGTTTTCCTTGAAATCCCTAACTTTCTAACCCACAGAGCATTGCAACAGCCTCAATAGTACTCAAGACCTCAAAGTCCTGAATACAAATTACCTCCCTAATTTAGAACAGAATTTTACAACATGAAAACAGCAACTTGCACTGCAGGTCATGTCATGTGTAGCATGCAGCAAAAGTGGGTAGCCCTGAGGCACATCCAAAACACCATGTGGAAATCAGGCCTGTACACTGTCATCTTCTTTTGGGGGAGTTGTTCAACCTAAATAAACTATTGAGCATAGAAATCCAAATTTGCAGATGAGGGAGAGTGACGTTCAAGTTTGAATGAAACCTGGCAAAGCAAAGGTTACTTAAGCTCTAGTTCCTCAGATGTCAGCTAGATCACTCAGAAAGTAGCAGGTTTGAGGCTCTTCTGAAGTAACCAGGGGAACACAGTGAAACCTTGTCCAAGCTAGTACAATCCTGTAAACAATTCTTCATGATCAATGTTCACGAATGTACATGTTCTCTGAGAAAATGGTTTCACCAAAATGTTTATGTGTGGGTTTCCTGTGCAACTGAAGACCCTAATAATTTAGACATTGTAGAGAAAAG